TTAAATGAAGGGAGCCAGACTGACATAGGGCTGAAACAGATGGCCCAGAAGGAGTGGCCTCCAGCTGCTCTGGCCCAAATTGGGGCAAGACTGCAGTGACCACATGATCTGCTCCTGAAGCAAGCTGCTGCCGCGGTCCCAAGCTGGCAGCTGGCAGGAGCAGATTAAATCCGCTCCTAAGAGGGCCAGTTCTTGCTGGCTTGGCACGCCTTGACCCAGCTTCCAGCCACTTTGGGGGTGTGCATCATCTAAACACCACATCCCCAAAGTGGCTAAAAGCTGGCTTATTTGGTCCACCTGTTTCAGGCCATAGTGGCTAGGCTTCAGGTTTTCCACTTAATCATGAAACTCGCTGGGTGAACCTGAGTCAGTCATTCTCAGTCTGGCTTACTTCACAGATGCAGAAGGAAGGAAGAGAGCCATGTACACTGCCTTCAGCACACTTTAGGAAAGGTGAGGTATAAAGGAACCATGATTAATAATAAAGAAACAAATCTACCCTGCTATGCCTATCATAGCCTAAATCCTTTAGAAATAGTGGAAGAAACTGTTCTATTGCTAGTGCTATAGAGGGATTCAACTGCCAGTCTTGCAATCTTTTGTACAGGAAAGCCTCAGCAAACAAAATATCCTAGGACAGTCCTGTCCACACAGGTATGTTAGAAATGTTTAAAAAAGAGGAAAAGATAGCCATTTTAATATGTATTAGACATGCTTCATACCAATGAAATCATGGGAAGTCGTTCATATGTAAATTGAGAAAATAACGTATTAATTTTCCTTCATTGTTGTGTGCCTTCAAGCCATTTTTGACTTTTGGCAACCCTAAAGCAAAGCTATCACGAGGTTTTCTGAGGCTGAAAGTATTGTTACCAAAGAGGTGGGGGTTCCAGAAGAGCACATATAAATTAATATATTTTAGGAGAATTTTAATAGCTCAAATAAAAGTACACCTTGGCTGAGGCAACATTCAGCCAGGGATCTTTCCCTTTGTATATCGCTTCCAAATCACACAGAACTCCAGAGGCAATTCCAAATAGGTTTTATAGTTTATTAACAAAGTAATCAACTCTCTCTCTCTCTCTCTCACACACACACACACACATACACAAGAAATAACAAAGCAAAGGTGGGAGAAGGGGAAAAGTGAAGGCCTTGCTAATGATAATGCTGTACCGATCCTTAAGCCTGGTTCCAGTCAAGGGAAGTCCGGAATGGAGATGGTTCAATAGTTGCTGTGGCAAGTGAGGTGTCTGGCTTATTGAGGAATCTAGCAGAAGTCAAATAGAGATTCTGTCCTGCTTCAGACTAGACCAAATTGCTAGTACCTAGGTAGTAGTATATATACTTAAAATCATGTCCTGGTGCAGCCATGTCAAGATAAATGAATTACCTCATTGCTAAATGGTTTTCCCAAGGGAAAAAAATGGTCAGGAGAATGAAGAAATGCTCTGACAATTGGCGTGAATATCTCAGACAAGGGAAAACTCCTACTGATGGAAAATAATCCTTTGTCAGTGAATGCACAACCATCTTCTTTGGCCAGAATCCCATCATTGCCCATCATAGACAAAGCGATTATGCTGATTATGCCGCCTCCTCCCATACAATCCTCCCTGCACTCTCCGGTCCTCTGGGAG